CGAGATTTGGTATGTTAGTATATGACATAAATTAGGATTGATTGGCGTATTAAATTGTTATTTATCACTTCCTGTTTCACACTGAAATAGAATGACATATCATATGTCAACTTTGACACTTTCGCATATTCTGGTTTATTTCAAATTATAACTTGCGGTTTGTAAGAAAAATTTGACTCGAAATACCAAGTATGTGGTATCAAATTATTCGTAAAAAAATGTTTTTTCCAAATATGCTAAAATATGAAAAAATTGAGATATGATTAAAAATACGATTCGGGCATCTTTAAACCGGCCAGGACAATACACGAAAAACATTAGACGATCAAATATATTTTTCCAAGGCTCTGTGACTAAAAATTAATATTTTTAACACAGTCCTGGCACTCTAGATTGAAATTTAAAATACAATATTTTTTAAAGCGATAATGTCATATGTCGACATATGCTATGTCGTTCTACTCAGGATGTAATTTTCTATCGAATAAAGCGGAAAAATACCGAGGGTGCCATTGAAAAATCAAAAGTTGTAGTAATTTCCGGTGAAACAGGAAGTGACTGAAAACAATTGAATACGTCAATCAATCCTAATTAATGTCATATATTAACTTACCAAATCTCGTTTTTTCATCTGAAAAAATAAAAAAATTATAGAGGTGAGTCACTTAAGAGACGCACCCGGTATATTCATTTTCTTAGTGTGTCTAGATATGGAAGGCAAAATAGATTTGTCAAAAGCGTCTTGTATATAGTTTCGGCCCGGAAAAGTACATCGCCAGATATTTATATTTAAATTCAACGGTGAATCTTCTTCCTGCAACAGATATTTGTTAATTTGTAAAATTTGAATATTAATAAAATTTGCGTCCATATTGGTGGGCATAATTTGCACGTAGCCTCTTTATATTTTTCAATGGATATTTTATTGGGCATTTTTAATTCTTGTTTGTAACTCCGGGCATGTTTTTGTTAGTTGCATGTTTTTTTTTTTAATTTTAAGTATCTATTCTCTACAGTCAAATGTTTAATTGATTTCTTCATTTTTACTTTTCGAGGAGTACGCGCGGTAAACGATTTTCTTCCTTTAAAGTTTCCTTTTGCCCTTCAGAAACATTCGCGTACTGAAATGAGCGCCACATATTCGATGACTCTGGTGAAGTTTTTCAACTTCTGCGAACGAATCCAGTCCACTGCAAAGCTTAATCCATACTTTTGCTCTGAAAAAGAAATTCAATTGATTTACTACATATATTTAAGAATTTCTACTATATTTGTGTATAGACGAGAATTTTGGTGTAGGACAGGGTTTTATATACCGGGTGCTATATAAAAGTGGTTCATCCCTATAACTTTTTTTATTTTTTCAGTTAAAAAAAAACGAGATTTGGTATGTTAGTAAATGACATAAATTAGGATTGATTGACGTATTCAATTGTTTCACCGGAAATGATTACAACTTTTCATTTTTAAATGGCACCGTCGGTATTTTTTTACTTTATTCAATAGAAAATAACATTCTGAATAGAATGACATATCATATGTCAACTTTTGACATTTCGCATATGGTTTATTTGAAATTATAACTTGCGGTTCGTAACGAAAAATTGACTCGAAATACCAAGTGTTTGGTATCAAATTATTCGTAAAAAAATGCTTTTTTTCAAATACGCTAATGAGCCACCCTCGTTCCATTTGAAAAAATTGAGATATGATTAAAAATTCGAAATTCCAGTTCCAAGAGGGTGAAACCACCCCTCAAATATTACAAATTTTTTATTTAAAAAACGGTCAAGTTTCCGAAAAAACGCTTAAACACATATATTTTATTTTGGTTTTTTTTTACATATTTTAAATTTTTTTTAAAAATGTATACAGGGTGTTTCGAAAAGTCTGGTCATTGATTAATCACGATCCTGCTTAAAGCGCTTGACGTAAAAAGCTGATTTTTGGAAAACAGATTGACATTAGGGTGTATGGGTTCGATAAGAAAGGATTTTTCGAAACTCGAAATCTAAGGGGGTGAAACTAACCCTCAAATATTAAAATATTTTTTATTTAAAAACCGGTGAGTTTTTCGGAAAAACTCTTAAACACGTATATTTTATTTTGTTGTTTTACATATTTTAAGATTTTTTATAAATTTATACAGGGTGTTTCATAAAATATGACCATTGAGTAATCACGATTTTGCTTAAACTGCTTGACGTTTAAATCTGATTTTTGACAAACGGATTGACTGTGGGGTGTAGAAGTTCGATAAGGAGGGGTTTCTCAAATCTCAAATTCCAAGAGGGTGAAAACGCCCCTCAAATATTATAATATTTGTTATTTAAAAAACGGTTAGTCTTTCGGGAAAACGCTTGGACAAGCATAATTTATTTGTTTTTTTTACATATTTTGAAATTTTTTAAAAAATCATACAGGGTGTTTCAAAAAGTGGGGTAATTTCTTAACCACGATTCTGCTTAAACTGCTTGACGTAAAAAGCTTATTTTTGGCAAACGGATTTTTCGAAAGTCAAATTCCAACAAGATGAAACTACCCCTCAAATTTTACCAGGTTATATAATAATATCGCCATATTGTTTTTTCTCATGCTGACATAAATGTGAGAAAATTTTATCTAGTTTGTATGTTAATGGAAATTCTTGCTTTGCTTTATCATCACCATTGCAAATGATTAATTCGACGCGAACGAAGTCGCTGGTACACGCTAGTTCCATATAAATCTCTTCTGATATCGCTATGAATACATTCCACTATTCCATATATACAAAGTGTCACAATATTCCGTAGACATAGAACTACTATGTATTTTTGGAATAAAAATAAGTTCATTGGACATTTTACCTCTATACACAAGTGCTTTATTTTTCCGTTAGAGGGCATTAAACTTTAAAAAAATAAATACATTTTTAAGATATTTTAAGAATAATTATATTTCGATTTGATTGAGATTGAGATTGTCGGTTTCTATGTTTTACTAAGGGCTTCAACAGTTTTTACAGGCTTTAACAGGACATTAACAAAAATCAAGAAAAAATACGAGGAGGGTGAAAACTTTCCCGTACTTTAAAAAAAACCGCCTCTACATCTATTTTAGTAGAAATATTTTCCAATTCCACCGACGACAGTTTTTTTTTTGTAATATGGCCCTTCTAGTATTTACTACATTTATTTTCTATTGTAAAAAAAGCTACGGAGTCGCATAGTTTTCGAGAAAAAAAATTGGAGAATTTATTTTTCCAAAGCAGACCTATAAAATAGACAGCAGACCAAAGCAGACCTATAAAATATACAGGGAGTTTTAATATTCGGTAGACATAGAACATCTACGTATTTTTTGAAGCAAAATAAGTTAATTGCACACAGTTTATCTATATACAAAAGTGTTTTGTTTGCCCGTTAGAGGGCATCAAGCAAAATAAAACCTAATGTAATTAATTCAAAATTTATTATTTTTTTAAGCTTTTTATGAAGCTTATTGTCAAATATAATTTGTGATACTAACATAAAATTCCATATTTTTGCCAACTAGATTATTAGCTCATAATAGACTTTATACGCCTTGTATAAAATCTATGTGTTGTGGTGTATAAAAATTGCATAACCAAACAACATTTTGTGGAAGTCAGCTTCGGAAATTTTTTTTTTCTCAAAAAGTATGCGCGGTGGCGTTTTTTTACAAAGGACAAAAAATGTATCTAGTAAATACTAGAAGGACCATTTTACAAAAAAAAATATCCGCAAGTTGGTTGAATTGCCAAATATTTATCCTAAAAGTTGTGTAGGAGTGGGCGTAGTTTTCACTATGTCCGTACTTTATCTTGATTTTTGTGAAACTCAAATGTTAAAGCACTTAGCAAAACATAGACACCCCAAATCGGCGTTCAAAATATCTTATAGAATGTATTTATTTTATTAAAGTTTAATTCCCTCTAACGGACAAACGAAGTACATTTGTATAGAGGTAAATTTTGTCCAATGAACTTATTTTGACTCCAGAAATACGTAGCAGTTCTGTGATCAAGGAATATTGAAAATGTATACCGGGTGCGTCTCAAAAGTGGCTCACCCATATAACTTTTTTATTTTTTCAGATAGAACAACGAGATTTGATATGTTAGTATATGACATAAATTAGGATTTATTGGCGTATTCAATTGTTTTCTGTCACTTCCTGTTTCACCGGAAATGACTACGACTTTTGATTTTTAAATGGTACCCTCGGTGTTTTGTTGTTTTATTCGATAGAAAATGACACTCTGAATAGAATGACATAATGTCAATTTTTGACATTTTCAAATATGGTTTATTTAAAATTGCAACATGCAATTCATAACGACAATTTGACTCAAAATACCAAGTGTGTTGTACCAAATTATTCTTAAAAATTTATTATAGATATGCTAATGAGCCACCCTCATTCCATTTGAAAAAATTGAGATATGATTAAAAATACGATTTGGGCATTTTTTAAACGACCAGGACAAGACACGAATAACATTAGACGATCAAATATATTTTTCCAAGGCTCCTTTATTAAAAATTAGTGTTTTAACACAGCCATGGGACTCTAGCTTGAAATTTAAAATTCAATTTTGTTTTAAGCAAAAATGTCAAAAGTTGACACATGATATATCATTCTATTTAGAATGTCATTTTCTATCGAATAAAGTAAAAAAATGCCGAGGGTGCTATTTAAAAATCAAAAGTTGTAGTAATTTCCGATGAAACAGGAAGACACAGAAAACAATTGAATACGTCAATCAATCCCAATTTATGTCATATACTAACATACCAAATCTCGGTTTTTTATCTGATAAAATAAAAAAGTTATAGGGGGTGAGCCACTTCTGAGACGCACCCGGTATACTGTTAAATGGGCTTTCCCATATTACAAGGCATGTTGTGCATTTGTTACTCTTCATTTAACTTCTTATTTTTTAGCACAACATTACAATTTATAATTTTAACGCTTTGTTGTTTCAGTACCGTGGCTCCAAAAACCAATTCAATGGAGATGCCAAAAACTTTTGGTGTGACGAGGACTGAGTGGTGTTACGCGATGTTGGGCGAGGGTACGCCATCACCTCAAACGGGAAAGGCGCGGGTGAACTTTCCAGCAGAAATGCTGGATGATTCGGACAATGGTGGCAAAATGTCGCGAGTGACAAAACGCAACAGAAGTATGAGTGCATGGAGCGATATGAGCAATTCTTGGAAGTTGGACGAAAGGTATGAACACAACGTATAAATTAACATTAGCGACCAATACATAAATTACATTTATGGCTAATTTGGTAACAGCATACCGTTTTTGACATGGATGATCTTAAAAACAGCTGTAGATAGGCAACAATTTTCTTACAGCGTCTTTTGATTGCTAAAACCTCAATTAGATTTTATTAAAAATCTAAATAACTACTATTATCTAATCAACTGAAAAAGTACAAGACATGGCAACGTTGCAAATTTTTATATTTCTAGATTATATTTGTCACTCTCATTGCACAGGAGAGAGAAAGATGCATATCGTCGGCAGTGGCGCAACTAGGGGAGGGGCTAGGAGATCTTAGCCCAACGAGACAACCGGTGCGGGTGGTATGAAATTAATTTTAACCTCAAATCAATATTATCTTACAGTGACGTAAGCCTCCCCCCCCAAAAAAAAACTTGAGCCCCTCTAAATGTCTGTGTCTAGTTGCGCCCCTGATCGTCGCGCGTCGGTGAATTATCTTAAACTGCTAGCGCTAACTCCATTATTCCTTTGTACAGGAAAGCAAAAAACGGTACATCAAAATATATACACATGTAGCAAGTATATTCATTTGTTAATATGATAACGGAATAACAATAATATTTGGTTTGGTTTGGTTTGGAAACAATATACAGGGTCCGGCAATAGTGCGTCGGGCATCTGTAGCTCCTAGAATAAAAAACTTGAGAATTTTGTTTAAGTGTAGACCTAAAATATCTACCAGGATGTATTTCAGGAAAATATTTTAACTTCTATAGGGTGACATCAAAAAGTGTAGAGGGGACTTGGATGATTTTTTTAAATTGAACACCCTGTATATTATTTTGCCTTTTGTTTATATAAATAAATATATTTAAATAGTTTCAGGTTTATGATAAATAAATCAGCCTCTATTGGCAAAAAAATACTGACTATGGAATTTTAGTTGGATCATATCAATTTTATTGCCTTTTTGGCTATATGAATAAATATATTTCGATAGTTTCAGAGAGATGTTATTACTAAATAAATAAAAATATATATATTTTTCAGTACTCAAAAAATTATTAACAATACAAAAACTGCTCTGAAATCAAAAACTAGTTAGGTATTTACTTTAGATGGTCTATTAATTGCTTTGCTATATATATGGTAATCGTTAATCATACAGGATGTTCATACATTCACGCCAAACTTTCTTAATTTATGATATATGACAATTTTTCTTTGTTTTTAATAGGATGAAACACCCTGTATATTATTTTTTATTATATGGAGAATTAAAAATGAACATTTTTTGTATTTAAAGTATTTTCAAATTTTTTTATAGTTTTCCGGATACACGCAGTCTTATTGCTTCAATAGCCTGGCGCTTTCAATGGTAAAATACGAGAGATAAAAATCACTGGGTGGCTTTGATAAAAATTTACTGTGGAAAATGCCATATGAAATATAAACTTTCTAAATATCTGCGAAACCGTTAAAAATTTTGAAATACTCTACACAAACAAAAAATCACTACAAAAGATGTTCATTTTTTAATTCTCCGTCTACTGAAGAAATAATATACAGGGCGTTCAATTTAAAAAAACGAAGAAAAATTATTTTAGATTTTAGAAAGTTTGGCGTAGAATTTTGAACATCCTGTATGATTTACGATTTTCTCTTATTTATAGCAAAGTAAGTACAGACCATCTAAAGTAAATACCTAATATAGTTTTGATTTCAGAACAGTTCCTGTATACAATTTAATTTTTTTTTTTTAAGAAGGGCTGAAAAAAATATATGTTTGAATATCTCTGAAACTATCGAAATATATTTATTCATATCTTAGGGTTATGTAAAGTGATCTGAAGAGAAGCCTAAAATGCAATAATATACAGGGTGTTCCATTTAAAAAAAATTATCCAGGTCCACTCACACTTTTTTGAGCCACCCTATAGAAGTTAAAATATTTTCCTGAAATACATCCTGGTACATACTTTAGGTCTGCACTTAAACAATATTCTCAAGTTTTTTATTCTATGAGCTACAGATGCCCGACGCACTATTGCCGGACCCTGTATACAGGGTTGTTAACCACATACGATACGGAGTATTGTAGCTAAACGATTAGATTTTTACAAACTGTAAGTTTTGGGTTCGTTAAAAGATTATTAGAGCTATAATTTAAAAATAATTTTACAAGATACAGAATGTCCCAAATAAGTAAAAAATATTGTAGTTGTATTTTATTAAATAGAACGCCCTGTATATTATTCTATTTTTAGATTCTATTATTGAAATAAAGGTAAATTTGATTAAGGTTTTTCACACTTAAACCTTACCGTTTTTGAAAGATTTTCAATTTTGTGAAATTGCAGAAAAAAAATTAAAGCTTTATTTCTCTGGGCATCAAAGTTTTTAATACTACTGAATACTACTAAATATTTACTGAAGATTGACTGATTGAAGATTGTGTTGCAATAATAAACATTTTATTACTACTACTACGGCCATTACTCGCTGACGAGTATTCGACACGCATCAGAAGATGGTCACGCAAGGCGTTTCCTTTTATGAGCCTTTTTGTGGCTGAAAAGCCCGGTACGTGATTGCCTACCGCACTTCGGACATTCAAAAATCTCATTGCTTCGTTGCCTTTTTACTTTTTGGTTGTCGCTGTTAACTGAGTTTACAATTCTTCTCCATTGAGTTCTATTGTGAACTGCATCTTACCATCCAGTCTGAATGTTAATCCCCTTTAAGTTTTCGTGGAAAATATCCTTGTACCTTTTATGTTGTCCACCCGGCCTCCTCTTACCGTCTACAAGCTCACCGTAAAGCAGAGATTTTGGTATGCGATTTTCTTGCATTCTGCATATGTGACCAGCCCATCTTAAGCGGGATTTTGTAACCATGACTTCAATACTCTCGCAGTTAGCTTTTTTAAGGACCGATTCGTTTGAGACATGATGGAACCACCGGATTCTTAAGAGATGTCTAAGGTGTCTATTGCAACTTGTTCAATGCGTTCATGTGTCGACGATACGGCACCCAGGTTTCGCTCCCATATAACATGGTAGGGATTATAATTGCTCGGTACACTGCAAGTTTCGTTTTTGTACTGAAGTAATGATAATTTGGAAAACCCTGTCTTCTAATTTTCAAAATGCTCTTGAGGCGCTGCTGCTAATCCTATGCTCAAGTTCAGAGTCGATATTGGCCTTTTCCGAAATCAAACTGCCGAGGTAATTGAATTCCTGCTACATATTCCAATAGTTCTTCTCTCCGATTTTATAGCATTGTTATGATCTTCCGGGAGTGCACATGATTTTGGTTTTGTCGACGTTTAGCTTAAGGCCCACAGCCTCGTATGCCCAGAGATATATGTGTTCAACATTTCTTGTAATTGTTGTAACGTGTTTGCAACTAGAGCGCAGTCATCAGCGTATTGAAGTTCTCCGATGAATTTTGTACGTGTTTTTGCCCTGAGACTTTTTATGTTGAACAGACCGCCGGCCATCGTATCTGTATCTAATACCCAATCCTCTATCCTGCAGTTTGCTATCCACTATAATGGAGAGCGCTGCCATGAATATGTTGAATAGGAGAAGCGCTAAGACACACCCATCTCTTACTCATGTATTTGTTAGGAAGGGATCGCTCAGTGATCCATGATGTGACACTCTTGACTTGTTGTTATGGAGGCTTATTATGCTTTTACACACTATCAAATTTGTTGGGTACTCCGAACTTTTTCATAATTGCCCAAAGTGCATCTCTGTTCACAGAGTCGAAGGCTTTTGTTAGATCGATGAATGCAACATAAAGTTTAGACTGTTGCTGTTTTACTTTTTCCTGTAGTTGACGGATGGAAAATATGGAATCGACGGTGCCGCGGTTGGTGCGAAAACCCGTTTGCGATTCTGGAATGATTTTTTCTATATATGGGTGCAGGCGGTTTGACATAATTTTTGTTAAAATTTTTCCTCCGATAGCCAATAGTGAAATTCCCCTTGGTAATTTCCTTGCAATCTGATGCACATTCCTTGTTCTTAAATATATTCACTATAATCCTCGCGTTGGTGAAAGTCCTGAGGTCACCTCATCGCTTTCCCATATGACATCAAAGAGAGCCTTCAAGAGGACCAATAAGTTTTTTACTTGCACACTTATAGTATTCTGCACGAATCGCGTCACAGCCAGCTGATTTGTTGTTTTTAAGCTATTTTATGGAGGCCTTTATTTCCTGTTCTGTTATTGGGATATCTTATATATGGGATATATATCTTCACATAGGGATGTCTAATACTTACTGAGGTATTGTGTTTAGTGCTACCATATTGGGGTTGTTTTCTTGGTTAAGGATATGGCTGTAATGCTCTTTCCATCGATTTCTGATTTGTTCTTCCTCTTTTTATCCAGTTCGCCATTTTAATGCCATGATTGGGCAGCTGGACCTTATTGGTTGGACCGTATACTTCTTTTTACAGGCCTCGAAGAATTTCTACAATCACCGTGCGTGGCGTATTCTGGAATCTGATTCGCTTTTGACCACCAGTTATCCTTTAGTTGGCACAGTTCTCTTCGAAGCGTGTTGTTGGCCGCTTTAAAGTTGTCTACCAGTCTCGGATTGTGTGGATTTGCAGTGACTGATGTGCTCTATGCTTTTGTTCCAACAAAACCTGTATATGCGGTTGATTTTCGTTAAACCAGTCTCGTTGTTTCTTTTTGTTCGACTTTCCCAGTACTTCTTCGCTGGTTTTATGAATCGCATCCCATAATTGTGTTCAGCCTTGTTCAGCTTCCAAGATTGAGATTGAAGTTATCGGTAGAAGTGATTCTTTGATGGCTTCCCAGAGGACGTCGGCGGTATTGTTCTCTAGACCCCGTACGTTCAATCTGGTCATGTTGTTTTGCTTTTGACTGTGTGGATAATTGGGTTTTAACTGGATTTTAATTTTTGAAATTAAAAATCGGTAGTCAATGCCGTATTTGGCATCTATTCTGGCTTTTG